TCTCTGTCTCTCTGTCTCTCTGTCTCTCTGTCTCTCTGTCTCTCTGTCTCTCTGTCTCTCTGTCTCTCTGTCTCTCTGTCTCTCTGTCTCTCTGTCTCTCTGTCTCTCTGTCTCTCTGTCTCTCTGTCTCTCTCTGTCTCTGTCTCTCTGTCTCTCTGTCTCTCTGTCTCTCTGTCTCTCTGTCTCTCTCTCTCGTGCACCGTTTGTTTCCCTGAGCAGGTGTGAATTTAATTGGTTCCTCTGTTTCTCTTCCAGAATGGGGAGAAGGTTCTGCCCAAAGATGAAATCGAATGTCCTCCAGGGTGGAAATGGGACGACCCGGAATGGGACACAGACCTCAACAGAGCTGTCGATGAGAAAGGTATTAGTTATTTTATTATACTTTGTGTGTTTTATTTATAGTCCACCTTTCCCCCTGGGGCTCATGGCGGACGACACAGAATAAGTCAATTCAATCCGATAAACAACGCAGAAGGGTCTGGTGTTGGTCTTGCTCCAGATTCCACTTCAACCCCCTTTGCTCTGCCCTCTGGCGAAAGCAACATCTCCCTGTCTGACCCCAGTTCATCACTCAACCTTCTCGGTCCAGTGATGAGTGCGGGATACATCCCTATCGCAGATCTCTTTGTGCTTGTTCTCATAACTGAGTTTGTCTGGTGTCCCAGGGTAATTATTCAGAAATAACAACCCCTGTTTACCTGAACAGATGCTGAACTGCAGACCAGAAGGTCGGTAGTTTGGCAGTTCGAGACCCGAGTGTGCTGCATGACGGAGTGAGCTCCTGTCTCTGGTCCCAGCTCTTGCCAACCTAGCAGTTTGAAAGCAAGAAATTGCAAGTAGATAAATAGGTACTGCTTCGGTGGGAAGGTAACAGCATTACATAAGAACATAAGAACATATGAGACGCCAATGTTGGATCAGGCCAAAGGCCCATCCAGTCCAACACTCCATGTCACACAGTGGCCAGAAATACCAGTGTCATCAGGAGGTCCAGCAGTGGGGCCAGGACATTAGAAGCCCTCCCACTGTTGACCCCCACAAGCACCAAGAGTACAGAGCATTGCCCCAGCCTGAGAGTTCCTATCTATACCTTGTGGCTAAGAGCCACTGATGGACCTCTGCTCCATATGCTTATCTAATTCCCTTTTGAAGCCGTCCATGCTTGGAGCCGCCACCACTTCCTGTGGCAGTGAATTCCATGTGTGCCTTGGTGTTTAGTCATGCTGGCCACATGACCACAAAGAAGTCTTTGGACAACGCTAGCCCTTTGGCTTGGAAGCAGAGATGAGCACCGCATCCCTAGAGTTGGATTCGACTGGCTTTCGAGCAAGGGAAACCTTGACCGTTACTATTTACCTGAATAAGGGATACCAGAGTGTCTCTCATATGCATTTTTGGGTCACTGCATCTCCTTTGGGATCTGTGAATGCCATCCACTAGAAATACCAACCTTCATTTATGTTAAGATGGGTAGCCGTGTTAGTCTGTCTGTAGCACTAGAATGGAGCTGCGGTGGCTCAAGTGGTTAAGACGCTGAACTGCAGGCTGTGGAAGGTCGGTAGTTCAGCAGTTCGAGACCCGAGTGTGCCGCATGACGGAGTGAGCTCCTGTCTCAAGTTCCAGCTCCTGCCAACCTAGCAGTTCGAAAGCAAGAAATTGCAAGTAGATAAATAGGTCCCACTTTGGTGGGAAGGTAACAGCGTTCCGTGCGCCTTAGTGTTTAGTCATGCCGGCCACATGACCACGGAAATGTCTTTGGACAGCCTATCACGGGGACGGAGCTGCGGTGGCTCAAGTGGTTAAGACGCTGAACTGCAGGCTGTGGAAGGTTGGTAGTTCAGCAGTTCGAGACCCAAGTGCGCCGCATGACGGAGTGAGCTCCTGTCTCTAGTTCCAGCTCCTGCCAACCTAGCAGTTTGAAAGCAAGAAATTGCAAGTAGATAAATAGGTCCCACTTTGGTGGGAAGGTAACAGCATTCCGTGCGCCTTAGTGTTTAGTCATGCCGGCCACATGACCACGGAAATGTCTTTGGACAGCCTATCACGGGGAGGGAGCTGCGGTGGCTCAAATGGTTAAGATGCTGAACTGCAGGCTGTGGAAGGTCGGTAGTTCGAGACCCAAGTGAAGTGAAGGTATCACTTCAGTGGGAAGGTCACAGCTTTCTCTGCGCCTTGGTGTTTAGTCATGCCGGCCACATGACCACGGTAACGTCTTCGGACAGCGCTGGCTCTTCGGCTTGGAAACGGAGATGAGCACCGCAACCCTAGAGTCGGACTTGACTAGCTTTCGAGCAAGGGAACCTTTACCTTAGACCTTTTTAGCACTAGAAAAGAGTGAGAGTCCAGGAGCACTTTCAGGGCTAGCAAACATTGTGGCAGGGGAGGAGCTGAAGAACTGACTGCAGTGACTCACAAAAGCTCCTCCCCTGACACAGATTTTGTTAGTCTTTAAGGTGCTGCGGGACTGTTGCTCTTTTCTACTGCTAATTCATGTTACAACTGAGGCCACTTTTCAGATCAGGAAACAGTGCAGGGGGAAGGCTTGAACTCATGAACAGGCGAAACTGCCTTTTACTGCATCAGACCATTGGTCCACTGAGGTCAATATTGTCTTTCCCTGCCTGAGACTCTCCTCATCAGAGAAGATAGTGCTGATCCTGACTCTATACAAATCAGGCTTAGATATTTGTAGTCGATATTGTTTCTCCTGATATTTAGCCAGAGTCAATACTGCCTAAATATCGGAGAAACTTCCCTAACTGTAAGAGTGGTTGAGCAGTGGCAGACTGCCTCGGGAGGAGGCCCATGCTCCTTCAGTGGTCATTTTCAAGCAGAGGCTGGATGACCATCTTTCAGCTGTGCTCCTGCAGAGTGCAGGGGGTTGGACTAGATGACCTGCAAGGTCCCTTCCAGCTCTAACATTCTATGATTCTATGATTCTACTCAGAGTGGCAGCAGCTTTCCAGAGTCTCATGCAGAGAAAGATCTTTCACATCACCTCTTTTAACCAGAGATGCTGGGGACTGAACCTGGGACTTTCTGTGTGCCAAGCAGATGCTCTACCGCTGAGCCACAGCTCCTCTTTACAGTTCTCCAGGGTGTCAGGCGGAGGTCTTTCCCATCACCTCCTGCCTGGTCCTTTCTAACTGGAGATGCCAGGGATTGAACCTGAGACCTTCTGCGCGCCAAACAGAGGCTCTGCCACTGAGCCACAGCCCCTCTTTACAGTTCTCCGGGGTCTCAGGCTGAGATCTTTCCCATCACCTCCTGCCTGGTCCTTTCTAACTGGAGATGCCGGGGATTGAACCTGGGGCCGCCTGCATGCCAAGCAGATGCTCTACCTGAACAGGTGAGCCACAGCCCCTGTTTACAGTTCTGCAGGGTCTCAGGCTGAGGTCTTTCCCATCACCTCCTACCTGGTTGTTTTTAACTGGGATGCTGGGGATTGAACCTGGGGCTTCCTTCATGCCAAGCAGATGCTCTACCGGTGAGCCACAGCCCCTCTTTACAGTTCTCCAGGGTGTCAGGCAGAGGTCTTTCCCATCACATGCTGCCTGGTCCTTTTCTAACTGGGGATGCTGGGGATTGAACCTGCGACTTCCTGCATGCCAAGCAGAGGCTCTGTCCCTGGGCCAGGGCCCCTCCCACCATCCCTTTTCTTGTGGGGCATTCCTATTGGCACTTAGGCTCCCCCATGCCTGATTTTTAAAGAAGAAGAAGAAGAGATTGGATTTATACCCCACCCTTCACTTGGAGTCTCGGAGCGGCTGACAAACTCATTTCCCTTCCCCTTCCAACAACAGACACCCTGTGAGGTGGGTGGGGCTGAGAGCTCTGACACAAACTGCTCTTTTTCAAGGAGAGTTGTGCCAGAGCTTGTGACTGACCCAAGGTCATATCAGCAGGTGCAAGTGGAGGAGTGGGGAATCAAACCCGGTTCTCCCAGATTAGAGTCCGCGCACTTAACCACTACACCAAACTGTCTCTCACCGGGAGCTCCATTCTTGGACCTTCCAGCATCTCCTTTGGTAGTCTTCAGGTAGCAGATGCTGTGGAAGGGCCTTTCTTTGCCTGAGACTCTTCTCATCAGAGAAGATAGTGCTGAGCCTGACTCCGTATAAATCAGGCTTAGATGTTTGCAGTCAAGAGCTTCTATTCTTGAGAGAGCCGGTTTGGTGTTGTGGTTTAGCGCGCGGACTCTAATCTGGGAGAACCGGGTTTGATCCCCCACTCCTCTTCCACATGCAGCTGCTGGATGACCTTGGGCAAGCCATAGTTCTGTCAGAGCTGTCCTTGAAAAAGAGCCGTTTCTCTCAGAGCTCTCTCATCCCCACCTGCCTCACAGGGTGTCTGTTGTGGGGAGGGGAAGGGAAAGGACTTTGTAAGCCACTTTGAGACTACGAGTGAAAGGCGGGGTATAAATCCAATCTCCTCCTCCTCCTCCTTCTTCCTGAAAATAAGAAGAGCCCTGCTGGATCAAACCAATAAGTCCATCTGATCCAGCCTCCCGTCTCACACAGTGGCCAACCAGTTCCTCTGGAGGGCCAGCAACATGGCGGAGAGGCCGAGGCCTTCCCCTGATGTTTTCTCCTGGCTCTTGGATTCAGAGGCTTAGTGGCTGTCAATGTCGAGGTCCCCCATAGCCACCATGGCTAGTAACCACTGATAGACTTCTCCTCCATGAATCTGTCTAATCCTTTTTTAAAGCTGCTTATTCCTGTGGCCATCCCCACACCCTCTGGATGCCGACTCATTTACTTCATCTCTTGAATGTGCAATATGAAACTCTGCAGTGAAGCAAGCTCAGAAGTTAGTTAAGTTTGCCATTCAAAATTTTAATCCTCCCAGTTGCCCTTTATAGGCGTTTATTTTGCCATATTCCCATAATGGACGCAGGTGGCTCTCGTAATTCCAGAAAACACAGGGAATAAAATGCCGGAGTTAGGTTTTTAAAGGCCATAAATGTTCTTGCTGTGGCTTGAGGATTAATTTCAGTAAGTGTTTACATTATGAATTGCGAAATGTTGGAGTCCAATTTCACAATATGGCCAACCTGTGGGCTTCCCGTCACATTTTTAGTTTCTTGGGGGACTAGAGAGCTGCCGCGACTGAGAGATGTGAAAGAGCGAGAATTCCTTTGAGCACAGCCTGGTTCTTCTCTCTTGTCTCCAAGGCTGGGAATACGGCATTACCATCCCTCCAGACCACAAGCCGAAGGCCTGGGTGCCGGCAGAGAAGATGTACCACACGAACCGACGCAGGCGCTGGGTGAGGCTACGCAGGAGAGATCCCACGCAGGTGGAGGCTTTGAAAAAGGTCAGTGTGTGGCTGCAGGAGAAACTGGGGTGTACAGATTTGACCCCTTCCGTCTCGTCTCAAGGTTCATGTGCGATAATGGTGTGAGGGTTGCTTGCGGCGCAATGCTCCCTCTAAGCTGTGGAGTCTCGTGAGCAAAAATTCTACTTTGTGAGCTATTGGCATTAAAGTTGTGAGCAAGCAGTTTGGCTACTGCATAAATTAGTTTGTTCTGGAGCCACCCTTCCTGAGCTAAGACAAAAATGTGTGAGCTAGAGGCTAAAAACCTGTGGGCTAGCTCACACTAACTCAGCTTAGAGGGAACACTGCTTGCTGGGTAGATGGACTCAGCGGAAAAGACGGACTACAAATAAAGTTTTTTTTTTTAAAAAGGCTAGTTTTCTAAGGCTTTTGTGGTGCTTTGAAAACATAGGGGGTCGCCCTGGGTCAGTTCCAACTTGACAGTGCTTAATCAGACAACTTAATCGGATGACTGAGAGGTGATATGATAGCCATCTTTAAGTATTTGAAAGGCTGCCGTACAGCAGTATTTGGAATATATGGCAGTATATTTGAGAGCCAGTTTGGTGTAGTGGTTAAGTGCGCGGACTCTAAACTGGGAGAACTGGGTTTGATTCCCCACTCTTCCACTTGCACTTGGCTGGATGACCTTGGGCAAGCTGTAGTTCTGATAAGAGCTGTTCTTGAGAAAAGAGCTGTTTCTCTCAGAGCTCTCTCAGCCCCACCTACCTCACAGGGTGTCTGTTGTGGGGAGGGGAAGGGAAAGGCGTTTGTAAGCCGCTCTGAGTGAAGCGCGGGGTATATATCCCATCTCTTCTTCTTCTTATGTTGTAAACTGCCTGTTGTTAAAAATCGGAACTCGATTGCAGCAAATATACAAATAGATGCCTCCCCCCTAGCCGTGTTTCTCCCTGAGGGCTGGGGGGTGGGCATTTTTGGCTGGTGAGGAACGAGTTGAAAGAACTCCCCTCCTTTCTACCTGTAGCTGCTTTGTATGAAAAGAGGTCTCTTGGGAAAATGTCTGCAAAATGCTACAGAAGGTAAATGCTCAGGCTGGCACTTGGAGGCAAAGTGGAGTCACGGATGGAACCGGATGCCAGAGTTCCCTTGGCAGGTCTTGGCTGTCCTCTAGGTGTCTCCCTTGGCCTGCGGATGTCGGTTGGGTCCCCCTCAAGCAGCTTGCAAGAGAGAAACACTTCAGACTTCGTTTCAGAGAGAGCTGTGTTGGTCTACGGTAGAAGAGAGCAAGAACCCAGCAGCACCTTAAAGAATAACAGAATTTGTGGCAGGGGAGGAGCTTTTGTGAGTCACTGCTCTCTACTTCATATATCTGAAGAAGTGAGCAGTGGCTCATGAAAGCTCCACTGCCACAAATGTTGTCTGTCTTTAAGGTGCTCCTGGACTCTTGCCGATTTCTTGTAATTGTTGTGGTTCAGTCGCACAATCGAGTCCGACTCTTTGCGACCCCATGGACCACATCACGCCAAGCCCTCCTGTCCTCCGCCGTCCTCTGGAGTTTGCTTAATTTCATGTTCGTTGCCTCGATAACACTGTCTATCCTTTGCCGCCTCCTTCTTCTTTGACCTTCTGTCTTTCCCAGCATCAGGGTCTTCAGTGAGTTCTGCCTTCTCATTGGGTGGCCAAAGTATTTGAGCTTCAGCTTCAGTATCTGGCCTTCCAGGGAACAGTTAGGGTTGATTTATTTTAGGATTGACTGATTCGATTCGATCTCCTGCTGTTTTCTACTGCAGTGGAACAGTTAGATTCGAGTCCAAGTAGCATCTTAGAGACCAACAGGATTTTAGAGGTCTGAGCTTTTGAGAGTCAAAAACTTATACCAGTAGGAATGAAGGTCTCCGAGTCTTTTCATCCCAGCCAGAAGGTGGATGTCCTCAACTGAAAAAAAAAATTCAAGGTGAAATTACAATGTGAGACTGCCGAATTTGAGTTAATTCACAAGTCCAGGACAACGAGCCTGTTGGGTATTCTGATTATTCGGAGTGAATAAACACAGCACAACACAGGTATATTAGCTTTAAAAGAATTTTTTTACTCACTAATGAGGAAGGGTAACCGGGGGATTAAAGAAAACAAGCAAAGGATAAACATCTTCTCTAACTGCTCTAATCTACATAAGAACATAAGAGACGCCAATGTTGGATCAGGCCAAAGGCCCATCCAGTCCAACACTCTGTGTCACACAGTGGCCAGAAATACCAGTGCCATCAGGAGGTCCAGCAGTGGGGCCAGGACACTAGAAGCCCTCCCACTGTTGCTTCCCCCCCCCCCAGCACCAAGAATACAGAGCATCCCTTGCCCCAGCCTGAGAGTTCCATCTATAAGAACATAAGAGACGCCACTGTTGGATCAGGCCAATGGCCCCTCTAGTCCAACACTCTGTGTCACACGGTGGCCAGAAATACCAGGGGCCATCAGGAGGTCCAGCAGTGGGGCCAGGACACTAGAAGCCCTCCCACTGTTGCCCCCCCCCCCCAAGCACCAAGAAGACAGAGCAAAATGGCTGGGTCAGGTCAGAGCCCCCAGCACTGTCCAGGTACAAACCAAGGTTGCCAGTTCTGAGTGGAGAATTTCCTGGAGATTTGAGGCTGGAGTTTGGGGAAGGGAAGGAGCTCAGCAGAGTATCATGGAGCCAAAGCAGGTGGGAGAAGAAACAAATTTGACGTCAGCCTGTGTCAGGTAAGTGAGGGTTTGGCCCCCCTCTCCAGAGCGCGTGCTCTTTTGGACATTAAAATTAGACCCACCCCCTGCTAGCCTTTTTTATATGTACACATGGCAGACACACAAGCATGGCAGACGGCGTCCATCTTGTTTGGCCCGTAGAGGCCTTGTCTGGAGAGAGAGGCCTGCTGAGGTGAATCCGTTGCCCGGCAACACTCATTCCTCTTCAAAAGCCTCTCTTGGGGCCAGAGCCCGTTCTGGGTCTGGGTATAGTCGGGGGAGGGGGGGGAATGACCCAAGAAAGGTTGAGTTCTGGGGCGGGGGTTAAAATGTTTTACATATGGTTCATCACAGAATCCTAGACTCACAGAGTTGGAAGGGGCCATGGAGGCTGAAAAGTACTCAGAACGTGGAGTGATTCAGCAAGAGTACTTTATTAGTTCAGGAACAAGACAAAGAAACCAGCTCGCAGGCCGGTTTATAAGCGTTCAGAAAACCCGCCACCAAGCACACCTAAACACACCCCCTACTCCCGATAGGCTATTTACAGTAACCGGGCGACCATTGGTCTCCCGGCTGGGAAGCTGGCCCTTTGATTGGGCCGGCTAGGATCCTATGGATCCTTTGTCTTTCGACTGAAGCTACTGAGGAGTATTGCCTGGTCAGCCCGGGCAAGTCCGGGCATGTCAGGCTGAATGCACTACACGTGGAAATGGCGACAGTACATTACACCCCTCCCCCCATAGTCCAAACTACCCACATACAAAGTCCTGTAGATACGCGGGGGCCTTCCTGGGCCTGGTAGAGCGGCGGAGGTCCGGGGTGCTGTTCGGGGCTGCTCCTTGTGGCCGTGGCGGGGCGGTTTGCTGTGGCGTTTCCGACGGCGGTGTGTCCTGCGGG